ACCACGTGTAAAAATATCGACAGAAGGTGGGAAAAAAATTTACATACTTAAGTACTAATACTTCACAAAAATTATGCAGGAAAATCTGATAGTACGTACGCGCTCGAATGAAAAATGTCAAATGAGGTATCTTTCGCACTTAAAAGCTTTATCACGTTTATTGAACTGTTGTACGGGAATTTCAAATTAGAAAGTTCGCTTTTAATAGTTTTTAATATTATACATTTCATGTTGTACGAGGGTTTTACCCAATTCTCGAACCGTGTTAGAGTGAATCCGTGCTATAGAAGTGCCGTGTTATACGGGGGTTACCTGTAATTTTTTTCTTTGAAATGCTTTTATAATTCCTCCATTTATTTCAAATTTTATCAATGCTTCTACGTACAATACTAGCACTTCGCAAATTAATTTCCAACAATTATCTTCTCCGTGAGAAGTAATATTTCTGCTCTTGTATTGTTTCTTTTTTTACTCTAACTCCAATTTTCAACGACTATTTCGGAAGAACTAAAATTATGCATTTTTCCTCTCATTTTATCCCCAAAACTTTCAAATGACACGAGTTCTCTCTGAAGTGAGAAAGTTCCCGGACTATACTGGATGAAAAACTACTCTCGAAATCAGGTTAATGATATTTCATCATACAGACCCAAATTTGGCATGAATATTCTTCGACGCACTAGGAAAAAATACTGCAGAGGTCTCCACCCCAACCACCCTTTTTTAAGCCCAAGCAATTTTTTTTGTCTTCTTAAATATGAGCTTGACTAAATATATTATTTGACTGGCTGTTACTCGCGACTTCGCCCGCGCAGATTTTGCGCGGGGTGCAAAATCTGCGCGGGCGAAGTCGAAATCTGCGAAGCTAACACCATTTACATATATTCAGTATTTCAACAACCATAGTAATTATGTAATTTATATTATGTAATCTAAATGTATAAAATTATTGCGATAAACATACCCCTTATTACTGAGAATCTTCTAATTCAATCGAACGTTTTCAATCTGCCCAATTTTCTAGAACGTTTGCAATCGTTCTATAATCGAACAAATATGTAGTAACAAATTCGAATTTAAAACGGTTCGACATTTGGTTAAAAAATCGTAATACGTAAATATTTGTACATTTGGAAATTTGAAAAGTTATTACCACCAGAAACAAAAAATCGCATCTAAAATAGTACAGTAGAATCCATTCTTCTGGTTAAGCCTTAATACTCTCCCCCAGCGGGGGAATTTCGAAAAATCCGTTCTTAATGTGAATTCCCATGGCATACCCTACTAAAACGCATATAAAAAGAAAAAATCGCATCTAAAATAGTACAGTAGAAGCCGTTTTTCCGGTTAAGCCTTTAATTACAGTGGACCCCCTATAAGATCATAGATACGTTCCATTCTTTAGGAATCCGATTTCTTACGAGTCCTTCCAATCACAGCCCGACACGTGAGAAGTTTACGGACTACGGCTGATTGAAAGGTTTTCTTCCATAAAATTAATCGATTCTAGACTAACCGACTCAACATTTCCAAATACGTATATTTTTTTTGGGAATAATCCGTATAAACTACGCCATAAACAAAAAATTGTAGGATTACTTACCGAGTGTGCACCATTCGACATCGCCATTGCTCAAGCTTGTTTTCGTCGCGGAACAGCTCAGCAAACCGCGGCCGATTTCTAATAACTTATTTTTCTGCGAAAAATTCGCTGAACTTTGGAGACATCGTTAATATAAATAATTTTAATCGCCGTTGAATAAGAAATGTTCTTTCACAAGAAATGTATAAAATTACAGTACTGTATTAGACTTACGGTACCTAATTTACATACTGTACAGACGATAGTTAGCCTAAACTCTCCGTAGCGTGGCACTACGTGGCGGAAAATATATATATATAATAAAGTTACAATAAATTAATATATAATTATATATACAGTACCTAATTTATATATAATACTGTACAGACGATAGTAATCTCTCCGTAGCGTGGCACTTGACGGCGGAAAATAGTTCGGCTGCCTGATGACGTTTTATGTAATTATAGTTTTTTTTTTACGGATACCGTCGCAATTTTATAGGAATCGTAATTATAGGGACCCGTTTTATAGGGGTCTACTGTAATTAATCTTCTCCCTCTCCCCCCGCGGGGGAATTTCGAAAAATCCGTTCTTGGTGTGCGTTTTCATGACATACCGTGTACCAAATTTCACATCTTTTAGGTTCAGCGGATTTCTCCGGGTGATGATGAGTCAGTCAGGACAAGCAATTTTATATATATAGATATAGGATTAATTTTCCATTTCCATGATTACACAATTTTCCCCAAATAAGGAGAAAATGCTCCTTGTTTTCTATTGGGTTTGTCTGCCAATTTCACTTTAATGCATTTATTTTGGGGTGGCAATTAAACCACTTTCACAATTCGACTAGTATGAATCGGACGTAGACAAAAAGATGGCTACTGGACGAGAATACAATAGCTCGTTACATTCTTGTTGAAAATCTATAATAAACCCATAATTCTATTTGTCCTTGGGTATCATTTTTTCGTTGTCATTCAGATTTTTTGGCCTTACGATGGAGAAAAATGATGCATTTAAACCATAATTATTGTATTAATTTTAATACAGTAGAACCCGTTTACGAAGTCTAAATTGTACATTTCCAGCATTTACATCAATAGCATGTTAAAATTTCCCTCATGTTTTCCCATGTAAGAAATTGCAATATCGGAGCCGTCGACGATATTTCACCCACTTTACGATTTGTCTCCAATGGAAATTTCTTATCTTTTTCCTCACTATAAATTTTAATAAAACTTTATCACTTATGGAATTACTTTACTATTTTTATATGCTCACCAGACTATATATCAAAACATCTACAAACCCTACATATCTGACAAGTGAGATAGTCGCTAATTTACCTGGGGCCTTTTTTTAGCAGGGATGAGTTGGAGGGAAAAATACACTGGGTGAAGATAAAGTAAGGAAATTTGACATGGTAGCTTGTATACAAGGTGCATTTATATTGATGCTATTAAATTTCTATAGCAATGACTAAAATTAAAAATTTTTATATTTGTATCTGCTCATTTGAATTCTTTGGCATTTTTATTTGATACCTCAAAAACAATTTGATAGAATAAAAAGTGTATATATATATATATGCATAATGTTTTTATAAAATATTTATTTTAGCAACAAAGTAAAAATAACATCACTTGATTACTGTATATGTCTGTATTTCACTTGAAAATCCTAGTGTTATAGATAATGGAAAATAGTGTTTCAAATGCTAAAATATTTTAATTTTAAAACTACTTTTACTTGAAAAATAACATATATTGCAACCAAAATATTCTCAATAACTTTAAACCAAAACAGGAAAGCAATTTCATATATTGTTCACCTTAACAGAAAGATGAATATTGAATTTCCTCAAAGTATAAATATGAAAATTTTGAGAGAAGATTTTTTCTATTTATATTTTGAGGAAATTCAATATTCATCTTTCTGTTAAGGTGAATAATATATGAAATTGCTTTGCTGTTTTGGTTTAAAGTTATTGAGAATATTTTGGTTGCAATATAACATGATGACAGTGTAGCATCGGTAACAAACTGTCATTGCAGTTTGCTACTGATGGCATGGCAAGTTTGATACTACTGGGTACTTTGCTGTGTAAGCACATAAGAACTAAGTACACACTGATATATCACTTGACTAAGTTTGTATTTTAATTCTTTTATTATGTGCATACCATTAGATTTAGTTAATAATGCAAAATTTTTATTTGGCAGTTTACTTTTCAAAAACATCCAAGCAGTGCAGTTTCCTCTCACAAACTAGTTTAATTAGCCATTGGTTATAAATATTCATTTTACAATTCAAATTGGAAACATCCGAGGAGGATCATACAAAAGGTGTTGCACATAATAAAACTAACTTGTTATAACTTCTATTCACCCAACAGTATAACTTTATATTAGGGTTTGTTAATGGTAAAGCAACAAATTTTGAAGTTGATAATTACAGTAGAGCGTCGATTTTCCGAATCAATTGGGGACTGGGGTTGTCCGGATAACTGATTTACATATGTAAAAATAGTTTAACGTATCCGAATATCAAAATTTTTCTCCGTTGCGTGTTTCTTTGCGTTGAATTTTTGTCAATGTTAAGCCTAACAAAGACTATTGTATCATTAAAAATTATTTTTTTATTTTGTACTAACAAAATAAATTTATTGAAAAATATAAAAATAATAAAAAATTATACTTCACAAGTTAATTTAGTATCAAAAACGTAAAATATTTGAGTAGCCCAAGACATAGCCAAAGATTGAAGCGCCACAGCACTGGCGAAAACTTAAATTTGCCGACTGGAATTCTTTCGGATGATTGACTTTTGGAAAATCGACGCTCTACTGTACTTAGAAAAATACAACTTCAAAATTTTCAAAGAAAGTGTGTGTTCAATCCAACTTGGACCATATCTTTAATTTAGAACTTGTTTATGTTTGCAATTTTTTGATTATGAAATTTTCTAAACAAAAACTTATTGAGCTTTGAAAAAAACTAGTATATCCAAAAATAATAGTTATTCTATATTTTACATTAAATTTGAAATTTATTGGGTTGCAGTTTGAAAAAAATTGTAGACCTATAAATTTCCACTGTTGTCCATCAGTCTTTCCTTAATCTCAAGAACAGATGAACCAATTCCCATATGTTAACTCCATCTAACTATATAACAACTTCCAAAGTCACATTATTTTAGTTAAAACATTTACCCCGAAAGGTGTTACTTTCCTTTAACAATAGAGTCATTATGACATACAGGAGCAAGTCATTACAGTACTAATTTGAGGTGACGAGAAAATATATTTTAAGTTAAATAAATTGCAGCCTGGCATTGTGACATTTTCAAAATAGATGAGCAATTATTTATTAAAAATTAGGTGTAATGTATTTTTAATAAATTAAAATCATCTTTGTAAAGTTGAACTGACAATAACATTTTATTTAAGTTTAATTTGTTTCATTATACATTCTTAAGATTAAAAAGCATAGAAAATGCAAGCATCATCTGCACCAGATCTCAAGAAGAGGTTGTCTCAGAACAGATTCATTAATGCAAATTCCTGTATATGCTTTTTAAGCATTACAAACTATTAGTTTTGAATTCAGGCACTGCTTGTTTAACAATATATATATAGAAGTGTAGAAAAAAGATAATTGCACGAACTTAAAACATAAAAGATGTCAAATGAACAAATGACTGGTGATGAAAAGTAACTGAATGCAACATGTGATCCCACCCCCCTGGAATGAATTCAATGCTAAGTGATTACCACAATCTTCATTTTCAGTATTGGCTACCACAATTCTCCATCTTTATCTTTAGAAGGGACTTCGATAACTCTGGGTTTGTCAATAATGCGAGCTGTTCTGTTTCCCTTCTCCACAATACCTATTATCCATGCCTGATAGTTTTCTTGCTTTTCTATATCTTTGCAATAAGCAGCTGCTTGTTCTCGGGGGAGACAGATTAAAAGACCGCCTGAAATCAAAAATTAATTTGGAGATATTTTCATTGTTAATTATTAGATTTATAAAATAAAGTATTTTATTTACCTGATGTTTCTGGTGAATGGCCTTGTAATAACTGGAACATATTACCACAAGCCTTTGCCACTGCTGCCATTTTGGCTATAATTGGCAAATTGTGAATGACAAATGATACTTCGTTCTTCTGAACCCTTGCTAAATTTTGTGCATGACCCAAGAGACCAAATCCGGTTACGTCGGTTGCACCATGAGCATTATACTTGTGCATTAATCTAGCAGCTGAGTATTTCATAAATTATCGACTCTTGAATATATTTTTATCATCAATATATTTTGTATTAAAATGATTTAGTTTCAAATATATTTACCTGTCCTGTTCAGTCGTGCCATACTATCCATTGCACGATGGTAAGCCTTCCTTACGTCATCTTCACCAACAACAAGTTTAATTCTATTCCACCTTTCTGGCTGATCTAACCATTGATAAGCATTTACAGCTACCTGAGTTCCTAAAGGTTTTGTAAGAACTAGAACATCGCCAACTACTGCATTATCAGGCCTGAAATTGTTTCATATAAATATTTTTAGTAAAGCTGTTTACAATCCAAATCAAATTGTCCAAGTTTTTAACAATGAAATTTTAATAAAAATCAATAAGAGATATCAATGAACATAGGAAACAGAAAGAAAGAAAAATGAAAATATCTTAAATGAAATCTTATGAAAAACTATAAAGTAATATTAAACCCGACTCAAAGCTTTAAAAACATTCTGAATTACTGTTAAAATTTAATTTTTCAATTTTTTTTCTATTCAAAACAAGAAACAAAACAATATAACTGGAAGACTATTTTCCAGTTAGAATAAAATCAGTGTCGAAATTTTTTCCACTTACAACAAATAATTAAATGTCCATTAAAAGTATAAGCAAAATCAAAGTTTTTAGAAAATAATTTCAGAGATATATTTTAAAATTAAGAAATATCAATATATTAATTTAACATGCTATATATCATTTTTTAACTTTCAGCATCAGTAAAAATAGCTACATCAATAGTTACATACATACACTACTATCTGAATTAAGTAGTTGCTGGCATATTGTGTGTATGTAGATAAAAAGTATGGTTTATATACAGTCGACCCCCCTATAACGTACGTTCCAATAACGATAATTCCTATAACGTAGCGAAAAAATTGTAGAAACTGTCGTATAACATACCTCCCATAACGTCGTTTCGCGACAAGATTGATAGAGTCTGGACCAATAGTGGATGAGCAGCCGAACTACTTTCCTCCGACCCTGCGCCACGCTACGGAGCGGCTAAATTGAGTTTGCTATCGTCTGTTTAGTATTATATATAAATTATATATAAATTAGGTACTGTACATATAATTATATATTAATTATATATAAATTAGGTACTGTATATATAATTATATATTAACTTAATTTATTGTAAGTTTATTATAATTATATATATGCTTTCTGCCGCCTGGCAACACGCTACGGAGATCTTAGGCTAGTAAGTTGAGTTTATTATCGTCTGCACAGTATGTAAATTAGGTACCGTAAGTCTAATACAGCACTAATTTTATACATTTCTTGTGAAAGAAACACTTCTTATTCAACGGCCATAAAAATTATTTATATTAATGATGTCTCCAAAGGTCAAGTTATTTTTCTGCGAAAAATTCGTTATTAGAAATCGCGGCCGCCGTTTCGTGTGCTGTTCCGCGACGAAGACAAGCTTTGAACAACGGGCGTAGTCGAACGGTACACACTCGGTAAGTAATCCTATAATTTTTTGTTTATAGCATAGTTTATACGGATTACTCCCAAAAAATTATACGTGTTTTGGAAATGTTGAGTGGAATTAGTCTAGAATCGGTTAATTTTATAGAAGAAAACCTTTCGAACAGCCTTAGTCCGTAAAGTTCCCACCTATCGGGCTGCGATTGGCTCATGTATTTAATCATTCATATAACGTAACATTCGCTTAGCGTGGAACGTATCTAAGCGTTATAGGGGGGTCTACTGTATATATGATGTGATATGTAATGTTACAAAAAGTAATAATTTATGATATACTTACACAATGAATTCATTAGGTTGGCAAACACTTGTAGCTACTCCTCCAATTGTTAACCAAGGATTAACTACTGATTGTCCTCCAGTAATTTGAGTTCCAGCATCATAAGCACAATCCTAAAGCAATTTAAACAATGATATATATATATTCTATTGATAAAAATTAAGTTTGTTAAAAAAAAAAGTAAAACAAAAAAGTTTAAAAGCATTTTATACATTTTTTAAGTCGTTTTTAATAAATATTTAAATATTTATATTCTTGCATTTTAAAAGAAAGTCTGATAACATATATTTATTTACTGTTACTATGCAATAATTTACATATACATAATCTAAACATATTTAATATTTATTTAAATTCTTCATATTCTTGCGAAATCTCAAAATATTCTTTATTAGCAGAAAAAAATGTTAACTGTACATATATATAAAGTCTATTCAAATTCAACAGTAAATTAAATTGTTTTTTGAAATACCTCTTTAGAAATAGGAAAAATAACTAATTACAAGATAAAGATTACAAATAAAATTTTTTAACAATAACCTATATTAATTATTGAAAATTCCATAAAACTTACAAAGAACACATCTTAGATAACAAAATAAGTTTAATAAAATTTTCATAATTTTTATTAAACAACAACTAAGAAGAAAAAATATTTACAGCAACATAAAAGAACAAATTAGCTATTAAATCTTTGTTAATTAACTTTACCATTTCATAATAGTTATACATACAAACAACAGGAGGCAGCTGTTTCTATGTTTTGTCAGCATATAAATTTTTATAATTTATGCATTCATTACATGTGTGTTGGAACTATCAATACACAACAGCCTTCAGAACAAACAATGTACAATTAGTTAGAATCAGAAAAATTTTACTCTTACTGTGAATTTGTTGTATGAAATATACAAAATATTAGAGATTAATTATGAAACATGTTTTAAATGCATGATTAATTATTATTCATATCTTCAGTTATAATTGGAAAATTTAATCCTTTTAGTTTAAACCGTTTATAATATATGATTAGATCTGCTCATTTTTATTTATTACCAGTTTGCTTTCAGACAAACCTGTTTTCCTCTCTAATAATTTTGTTACTTTTATTTGAGAAAAAAGATTAATTTTTTTCATATTGATTTTATGGATTCTTTTGTGAAAACATATCAATTTTGTATTATATAACAAATTTAAGTATTTCAAGTTTTATAAATAAATACTCATTCAAATATTTTATATAATTGCTCCTAAACTAAACAGATGAGAAAGTTTTTAACACAATGAAGAGATGAAGAGAGAAAGAGAGAGAGAGCACTTTTAAAATTTTTATTTCAGAAACTACAAAATATTTAATTCAGTATGACTTGTTTTATTTAAATAAAATTTTTCAAAAAATATTTTGCAATACAAGCTAAAACAAAATTTAAATAAATATATAGCATATTTAAAATTTCATAGGTCATTAAAATTTTCTATAAAAAATTAAACTCTCAATTGCTAATAAAAATTATTTTGTAAAAACAAAATACTGTTTCTGTTGAAATTTCCATTTGCTTCAGTGTTATTCTAATTTTTACTATTTTACACTGAGAATTTAATAATTTCTTTCAGCTAAAATTTACAAAATGAACAAAAAGAATTCACTACTAAATGAGTGGTCAAGAAACTTATTATTATTTTTCTTAATCCAAACAATAATTTTGGATAAAGTTATCATAATATAAAAATGCAATATATAAATTTATTACCTTAAATCCTCTCATCAGAAGTGGTACCACAGTATCCCTCTCTTTTTCTGACATTTTCTGGCTAATAGCCAAAATCATTAACATATTGTCACATTCAGTTACACCCAGTGCATAAAGATCACTTAAGACATTTGCACATGCAATTTTGCCCTATAAACAAAAATGATTTATGCGAATTAGATTTATAGTATATGTAAAATCATCCCATTTCATGATAAACATATTAATCTAGAAAGGCATTAAATGTACAAGTAAAAATTTAGAACACTAATATTCAGATTTATCTTTAAATAATTCTTTGCATTTATTTTTAATACCAGTTTGAACTTCTAGAGCAATTTACATATAATCTTTTTTTTTTTTTTTGAAATTTCTTAAGCTTGGAATAATTTGTATTTTGTTGGTAGTTATGTTAATTTTTTTGACTTTACATATAAAATAATTTATATAGTTTTAATTAATTACAAACTACAATTCTTACCATAATATAGGGGTCATCAACCAAAGGATAAAAAAAGTCAGTTGTCTGAACTAAAGATAAACCTCCATGTCGAAGTGGAGTAACACTGCAATCCATTCCTATACCTAAGGATAAAATAATATCTCATATAAATCATAAATTTATGGCAAAGTTCTCTTATTTCAAATCTATGAAAAAAATTACAAGTTTAAAGATTTATTAGATCAGTGTTCCCAACGTGGGGCCCATGCCCCACAGAGGGGCAATTCGAAAATGGACTCATCCAGAGTTTAAGTTAACCGTATAGCCACTGTACGGTATATGTTAGGGGGCATAAGAATTTTAGAAAGGCTTAGGTGAGGCATAGCACATAAATGATTGGGAAACATAGTATTAGATTATCAAGCAAAAGCCAGATATAATTGAATGTATAAATTTGACTTAAATCATTAATCATATATTAGTAGTTTGGTATTAAATTAAGTAACTTTTAAATGTCATTATTCAATTAAATAATGCATTATGTAAATTGTATCTGCATATAATGAATATATTTCTAAATACATGCTATATTCTACAAAATAATAATGCTGCTAATTGAAATAGGCATTGTTACACTGAACTATAATAATAATGTCCTACATTAAAACTAATAGCACAACATAAAATGGTTAATAAGAATTGTACATTGAAATGGTGCAAAATAATTCAAAATATTTTGAGAAAGAACAAGCCATTTACAATATTTTCTTTCAGGTTAGTAAAATAAATGATTCATAGGTTAGGCCAATACCATGTCAGCATAGGAATCTGCACTAACATGACATGACAAATTTCTTGTTACAATTAATTGAAGAAGTCAATTAATATAAAATCAATGTATTTACATTATACATTTTCCTCCTTAAATATCAAATCAGAAGGTAAAAAATTTTTAAGACATATGTTGACATCTACAGCTGCCAAGTGAAATTGCATTTAACAACAAGCTTGGTCAAGCCAATCTGATAGCGTGCTCCACAAAAGCAAATCAAATATTAATTTTGTTTAAAATAAATGTTTATAAATTCTTGGAATCAAGTTGATCAGAATTTTTCACTGAATATACAGTAAGGGATGTGGTTTATAGATTTCAGAGGAACTGGATAGTTTTTACTATAACTTAAAATGTCTGTAAATGAAAATGTTCAGTTCCTTTTGCACATGCATGTGGACATGCACAATGAATGGATTGAACAAAGCATGCACATGTCATATTAGGACTTTTGTGTGTGTCTGTCAAAGCACTTCACTACTATAGTGGAGCATGCTAAAAAGGATGAATAGCAAATGAGTGAAAGTAATATCTCCATTCCTATAATACACTATCTGGCCAAAAGTATCCGGACACCCAGTGGTATGGACTCTGAGAGTCCTGAGGCATATATTAATATGATGTTGGTCTTCCTTTTGCATCAATGACAGCCTGCACACATCTGGGGAGACTTTCCACTAGTTTTTGATAGGTGGCTATCGGAATTGACTTCAGGCGTCCATCACAGCTGAAGTGAGTGCTGGCAGTGAGGATGGTCGATGTGGCTGGCTACGTAACCTGCGTCCTAATTCGTACCAAAGGTGTTCTATAGGATTTTGATCGGGGATCTGAGAAGGCCAGTCCAGTTTTTGAACACCCATTTCATCAAACCATGCCCGCGCAAGTCTTGATGTGTGAATGGAGCAGTTATCCTGCTGGAAGAGAAATGGGCCTTCCCCAAAATATTGCCATAGAGTTGGGAGAGCAGTATTCTCCAGAATGTCCACATACATCTTAGAGTTCATGTTTTCAACCACAGGAACTAAGGGATCCAAGCCAAACCATGAAAAACACCCCCACAACACGATGCTGCCACCACCAAACTTTACAGTCGATACAATACAGTCATATAAGAAGCACTCGCTGGGAATCCACCAAACCCAGATGCCTCCATTGGACTGCCAGATTGTAAAGCGAGATTCATCACTCCAAAGAACACTTTTCCACATGTCCACAGTCCAATGACGGTGAGCTTTGCACCATTGCAATCGACGCTTCACATTTTGGAGAGTGATGTTCGCCTTGTGAGCGGCTGCACAACCATGGAATCCCAGGTTTTTTAACTCTTGATGAACAGTCTTGGTGCTAACACTAATGCCTTTGGAACTCCTGAGGGATTTCAATCAACGAGGGTGTGTGATTTTGTTTCACTACCCTTTACAGAGTTCTACAGCTGCATTCACTAATTTTGTTCGGCTTGTCACGTCATTTTTTTCCACTTTCACTGCCTTGACGTTTTCACTTCACAATTACATCACCCACAGTGGATTTTGGTTTCTGTAGAATGTCTGAAATTTCACGAAATGATTTCCCACAAACGTGGCATTCCACTATAATGCCATGATCAAAGTCACTAAGCTCCTTTGACTTACTCATTGTCTCACAAACGCATAAATATGACATGACAAACCACTACCAACACTTTTATACCTTTCGGTTACACATCAGAGACCATCACCTACCAGATCTGCTTTAGAAGGGTGTCTGGATACTTTTGGACAGATAGTGTAGATCAAGTATAAAAAAAAGCTTAATAAAATAATTTGTTTATTATATGACTAATCAACAAATAGTAACCTCACTGCATGGCAACCATGATTTCAAAAAGTACACTTTTTAACACTTGAATGAAGTTAATATTTTCTCTTCCTATAATCATTCTTTTATTTCATGCAATAGCTGCCATTAAGAAGTCTCAATATATCACCTGTTGATGTTAAAGTCAAATAACAAATCTTTCTGCATTGAAAATGTAAAACTTATCACTAATTTTACATTTACAATTTCTTTTTGTAACCAATACTTCAAGAGAAAATTTCTGTAACATGTTAGCACACATTATATATTAAGCATCATAAAAACAAACAATCTGATTCAAACTTATAATTAAAAACATCTCCTAACTTGCAACAAGCAATTATTTATTGTGATATCATTGCAATGCCAGGCTGCAATTTTTAATCATATTTTTAATTTATTTCATTTAAAATACATTCTCTCCATCTCAAATTAGTGGTGGTTTGCCCCTGTACATCATACTTTTCCTTTAACAATAAAGCTATGCCAGTCATCTATCTAACACCTTTCAGGGAAAATTTTTGAATTGAAATAACATGACTTCCAGTTTGCATAAAAGTTCTATATTGAGGCCACCTGTCCCTAAAGTTTCCATATTTGGTCTCATCTTTCATCTAACTCCATTCTTGAGATTAAGGAAAGACAGATGGACAGATGATAGTGGGAATTTATAGGTCCACAATTTTTTCAAATTGCAGCCCAATAAATCATTTACTACATAATAATATCAATCAAAACTAGGATTTAAAAAAATTAATAACTCAATTTATATAGTCAACAAAATATTCTGAATCAGCACCATAATAAATTTATTTTAAGAAGTTTTTTAGACTGTACATTGAAAACAAGACAAGACCAAATCTCATCATATTCAGTTTATTCACCAAAAATGAAAAGAAAACAAAAAATGTAAATACTATAAAGACTTCTGTCTAGATCTTTATAAGTAAATACATGCTCTCATTTAATGAGAAATAAAAACACAGATTAATAGAGTTCAAACTTCCATCATCCGTACAGTCTCTTGTTAAAATTTGATTTATGTACACAACAGAAAAATGCAATTACATGGAAAAAAAGCATTTTTTAAAATAATTCTTTTTTATTTCAAATCTAAAGTTTTATTATTGAATAACTTATTTTAAATGAATAAATTCAAAATTTTTAAGTTTAGAAATTATCTTGACCACAAAACAAATTAAATGTGCTTGCAGAACACTAAAATTTCAAATAAATTAATGATATTCAAACTGTTACATCACAAATATATATTCTATTTATCTGCTATTGTTCTTTAAATTTATAGGAATAAATATACATTTATACGTGAGGAAGCTTATTATTATACTTTAAATTTACAAAGCGAGAATGTTATTCTTACTATTAGGCTCAATTACTTTGGAAAAATTTAATAGCAACTTACTGCTATTAAACTCATTCAATGTAATTATTTCAGCTAGTAAACTTGATTCATGATTTATCTGAGCAAGTAAATTTGAAGACTGCTACTTTTGTCATTACTCACTTCATAAGTTTACTCCCAGATCAGGAAACTCCATGTAATCATGTGCAGTGAATAGATCAGTCCATAAATGATATACATATATTGATTGAAGTTCCTTGTATGGGAATTTTAGATGTGACTTATATTTTAAGAAACTGACTTTAGATGATGGAAGAAAAAAAATTATGACAACAGTTTTCTACAAAATCCAATAAATAATTATTATTTGTTTAAGAAATTTAAATTGTTTCTTTATGATTTATATGTAACCTATTTGAGAACAGACACAATTTTGTTCTTTAGACTCTAAAATTAAAATCAGACTTGATAGTGTTTTTAAATTATATTATCATATAGTTAAAAAAATATTACATTTTATTATTTTGAAAGTTAAGCAAGCAGGTTTACTAGCCCAGCATAATAACTGGCACTCACTTTGCAAGTATGCATGCTAGCAAGTATCTAGTGAACATGCCCAATGCAACTGAGCATATTTTCACTTACAAATATATTCAAGTATCAGACAGTCCATATACACAAAAAAAAAATCATTCAGAAGTGAAATTTGCAAATTATGACAAAACAGTATATATATTTTAATACAGTAGTAAGAATAGTTTCTTTTAACTAAACTATTAAAAAGTAAAATAAAATTAGTCAAACTTTTAGTTAGCATTACGAAGTTGTTCTCTGAAACCAACATTAAATGAAGTGAGGCATTTAACTGAAATACCTCAAAAATTATAAAGTTGATTAATACAATATCTATAATGGTGCCAGATTATTTAAAATGCAATATTACCCCACATTTTTGTATTACAGTATTGCAAAATTTGATAAATTACATGCAATCTGAACATTATAGACATTGATGTACATTTTGTATTAGGTATGATGCTGTTTTTTCACGTATACTGCAGCACCCAAGAAACAAGATGATGTAACAAAATGAGTAATATTTCTCTATCACTTTGCTTGTTTCCAGTCAGTCAATCCTCCTAA